TTCCTGCTGTTCCTTTTCATGGAGTGTCTCCTCCTCCTCCTCCTACTCTTCCTCCTCCTCCTCCTCTCCTGGGAGGTGCTGGGTTTCTTTCCTCTGGTGTCTCTACTTTGCATTTTCAAAATGCAACTGATGTCTCAAGCACTGGTTTCACGCTGTCGGGAGATGCACTTGGGCTCTCTCACAGTGAATCTCGGGCTTTTCCATTAAACTATTGTGACGTGTCTTCACCAGAATGTCTTTTCCAGTCAGATTTTAAGTTTGGCTCAAGTCATGAAAGTTCTCCTGAAACAGAAAGTGATGAAACATGTTCAGCACTACCTCTAGGAAGTGCGGTTTTAAAAAGGAAATTGAAATTTGGCATAACAGAAGGTGACTCGACAGCCAGCTTTCAGGCACAGGAAAACAAGGACAAAGGTGAGGATGACACAGTCTGCAAACAAAGCTGGAGGAATTCTGTGCCTCGAACTGAACTCTTCAGTCTACAAACCGAGGTATTTGTCTTCTCTGTCCTTAAATCTGAGGTTAATTAGCTTCACAAATGAGAACAGTGCTACTCAACATAGTCGATCTAGACTGTTTGTCACCAGGCTGTGAAGAGGTGAGACAGTTGTGTCAGCATGCTGACCATATTGCTTGCTTCATGGAGAAGCTCTCGCTGCCGAAACAACAAAAAGCAGCTAAACAGTCTCAGCCCAGTAGCCTAGTAGTTAAGGAAACCGGATCCCACATGGTTGACGGTGGTTTGCACCTGACCTGGTGACTTGAAAAACCAGATGCATGTGCGTGCCCCAAATCCTAACAGGATGGAGAAATGGAAGAGAAAGGATTGTGGCAAGGCCACGCCCACTGGGGAGTTTTCTCTCTCTCTCTTTGGCACACACATGCCCTTTTGGCAATTTAAAACAAGACAGTGTGCTCAACAAGACTGGGATTTGTCTCTCTATTAAACATTAGGCCAGAAACTCGTGCTAGTGAATATCATTATTTCTCAGTTGAAAATGAACTTCCCAGGGGCCAGCAGGTGGCATGGTGGTTAAGGCACTGGATACTCCCACATGGACGACCACTGTTTGAGTCCCGGACCTAGTAGCTTGCTTTCTTACTTACTCTCTCTCTCTAGTCAAATTAAAATAAGTAAATAAATAAATAAATAATTCTTTAAGGAAAAAAAAAAAAAAAAGGAAAGAAAGAGAATGAATGCTCCCAAGCAGACCATGGAGTAAGAAATTAATTTCCTGGGACCAGCAGTTGGCGTAATGGCTATGCCGCTAGACTCCCACGTAGTTGAACACGGTTCAGTCCCCGTGGCTTAAACTCACGCCAGGTGCATGTGTGTGTGTGCCCAAGATCCCGAGAGGAGAATGGAAGAGAAGGGATTGCGGTGTGGTCGATTCCCCCACCCCCCCCCGGCGCGGGGGGGTGATTTCTCGCTTTCTATCTCTCTGTCTCTCTCTGTCTTTCTGGTGAGCGCACGTGCCCTATAGCAAAATCCTCTCCAAAAATAAGAAAAAAAGAACTTAATTTCCTAATGGTAGAACTGATGAATTACAATGAATGTAAGTGTTCCGTTGTGAAGTAAAGCGCAAGTGCTGCAAGTATACTCTCAGTATTTTCATGTACGTTCTTGGGACTATAGCTATTCCAATACGAAATACTATGTTAGCCCTTACCATTGTATCTGTTAAGCTAACAAACACCCAGTTAATTTCCTCCCTGACCTGCTACTAAGCCTCATCCCATATCTAATCATTTCTTTTGATGTAAAGTAGTAAAGTAAAGGAGGAAGGACTTGATTTAGAATAAGACCATGCATGAGTCCTAGCGCCACCACTTTGTGGTTTGGGGCAAGCCAGACCCTCTGTCTCAGTTTCCTTACCCATGTAATGGGAATAACAAGGGCGTCTCCCTCACAGATTGGTTTTAAAGTTTAACCTAGGTAATAACAGTTGCCCTTCCCGAGCTACTGCACGTGAGAGCCGGGTCCTGGGAAGCAGTACTGCCCATAGTCACATAGAAGCCAGTCTGTTGGGCCTTCCGCCCTGGCTCTGCTCCTTGTTAGCTGTGACTTCGGCCACGTGGTTTAGCCTTTCTGAGCCTCACTCTCTTCATCTGCAATGTAAATATAATAATGTACTGCTACAAGCAGTGATTAAAAAGATAAAAGAATAGCTCCTGGGGCTAGGTCTTTATGGGTTGAAACATACCATTGCTGATGTTTTTCAAATTATTGGCTTTAAATTAGATCCTTTAACCTGCCTGTGACTGCACCCTCCTTTCTGCTTCCCATATCAGTGTTCCTGCGGCCTGCGTCTGTCTTCTTCAAGGTTAGGATCCCCGTGTGCAGGCTGACCACACTCTCACATGCACGTGAAGGAATGGGCCAAGGGCGGTGGGCACAGGGAAGGTAGTTTTAAAGAGCATCTTCAATGTAATAATTTTATATTTAGCAAAAAAATGTCATTTTCATATTGTAGACTACATGAGAGTACTTTTTTTGTTTTTTGGTTTGTTTAGTTATGGGGCATGTGTGCACTTTTGGGGGAGGGATGGGGAGAGATAAGAATGTGAGGAAATCGTTCCCCACAGAGATGGCCACACTGCGATCCCTTCTCTCCATTCTCTGCTCGGGATTTTGGACATGCATGTACATGTGTGTGTTATTATTTTCAAGTTCCCATGTACGGGACTCAAACTGTGCATTCAGCCATGTAGAATCTAGCCTCCTCAATCACCATACCACTGACTGGCCCTGAGAGCACATTTTTATGTTGAATGAAATATTGCCCATGCTGGGCAACCTAGGGCCTATGATTTACAATATTGTATGGTTAAAATTGTGTTGAAATAGATCTTCTGTTAAGTGCTCATTTCAAAAAGGAACAACAAGAAAAACCCACAAAAGAAGTAGAAGAAAAAAAAATTTTTTTTGAGAGGATTTTGCTACAGGGCACATGCGCTCTCCAGAAAGACAGAGAGAGACAGAAAGATAGAAAGCGAGAAATCACCCCCCAGGGGGTATGACCATTCCTCAATCCTTTCTCCTCCATTCTCCTCCATTCTCCTTTCGGGATCTTGGGCACGCACGCACACACGCCCATCATTAGTTTAAGCCACCGGGTCTGGCACTCGAACTGTGGTCGACTACATGGGAGTTCAGCAACATAGCCATTATGCTAACTGCTGGTCCCTAGAAGAAAATTTTTTTCAAGTCTGGATAGGTTTATGGCACTGATAATGATAATGAAATAACCATTTCGTGGATGCATATTTATCTCCAAACGTCAAGTTGTATGCATTAAATAGCTATTTTTAAAAAATCATTCATTTAATGTTATTATTATTTTTTTTTCAATTTGACCAAAGAGATACGCAGAGAGGGAAAGTGAGAAAACAAGGCAACAGATCTGGGACTTGAACCACTGTCGGCCATGTGGGAGTCCAGCACCTCAACTACCACTCTACCTGCTGGTCCCAATAGCTGTAGTTTTTTGTATGCCATCATACTTAATAAAATGCTTTTATTTGAAAAAGAAATTATGCTGTTTAAAAGTTTGAGAAACAATGCTTCAAAGCATTGCTAGAAGAAAAAATATATATTTTTTAAAATATATTTTTAAAATCTCTACACTGGGGTCAGTAGATGGCTTAGCAGTTATGTTGCTAGATTCCCACATTGCCGACCACAGTTCATGTCTCAGACCTGATTACTTAAAAATCATGCCAGGTGTGTACGTGCATGCCTAAGATTCCAGGACAATGGAGGAGAAGGGATTGCAGCATGACCATCCCCCAGGCAGGGGGTGATTTCTCGCTTTCCCTCTCACTATCCCCCCCACCACGATTGCATGTAACCTAAGGCAAAAACCTCTTTTTTTTTTTTCCTTTTATTTATTTATTCATTTTAATTTGATCAGAGAGAGAGAAAGGGAAAAATGAGAAAGCAAGCTGCCAGGTCCGGGATTCGAACTGCAGTCGGCTATGTAGGAGTCCAGCATCCTTAGCTATCATGCCACCTGCTGCCTCTGGCAAAAACCTCCAAAAAAAAAAAAAGCCTCTACACAAGAGCCTCTTTCCAGACTTATAAATGTCACCAGATGCTTAGTGTCCGCCATAATTATAAGCTTCCAAACAGTACTATATCACAGGGTTATAAAGGACTTTAATTTTCCAGTAATAAAATTTCTATAAATGTTAGAGCCAGCAGGTGGTGTAGTGGTTGGGGAGCTGGACTCCCACATGGCCAGCTGTGGTTTGAGGCCTGGACCCGGCGGCTTAGAACATGGCAGGCGCGTGTGCATGAGTGCCCCAAATTCCAACAGGAGGAATGGAGGAAAGGGTATTGCATGCAGCCATCCCTCCTGGGGCATGATTTCTCACTCCCCCCTACCCCATCTCTTCAGTGAGCGCATGTGCCCAATAGCAAAAATCTCTCTTTAAAAAAAGCAAAACTTGGGACCAACAGGTGGCGTTGTGGCTAAGGTGCTGAACTCTCCCACATGGCTGACCACGGTTCAAGTCCCAAACCTGGTGGCTTGCTTTCTCACTTTCTCTCTCTCTCTGGTCAAATTAAAATAAATGAGTGCATAAATAAAATTAAATAAACATCTTTTTTTTAAAAAAAAAAAAAAAGTAAAACTTTTCAAATAAATGTCTTAATCAAGTGAATTGAAATATAAGTTGAGTGTCCCTAACCCAGAATTCTGAAATGCAAATGCTCCAAAATCCCAAACTTTTTAAGTGCCAGCATGATCCCACACATGGAAAATTCTAAACCTGACCTCATGTCACAGTCCAACTGCTGCAATACAGAACTACCGTATAAAATTGCCTTCAGGCTATGTGTATAAGGTGTATATGAAGCATCACTACATTTTTTGTTTACACTTAAGTCCCTTCCCTAGTTACCTCATTATGTGCATCCAAATATCCTCCCCCCCAAAAAAAATTTCTAAGTCTGAAACCCAATATGCTTCTGGTCCCAAGTATTTCAAATAAGGTATATTCAACCCTTAAATAGAAACTTTTTTATTCATTCTATAAATTCTTATGTGATGGTAATATGACTTAAATTTATTTTCTTAATTTCATAGGATGGCTTCTGGAAACTTACACCAGAACTAGGACTGATATTAAACCTTAATACAAGTGTTTTACATGACTTTCTTGAACAAAAAGGTATTCGATCTCTAGGTAAGTCACTATTTTTTAATTTATTAAGTCACTGTTTTAATTCATTATCTGTTCATTCACAGCATGTTCTAGTCATTATAAATTACTTTGTAGACTAGTGACTTATAATTACAAAAGTCATATATAAGCGGAATTACATTTGTCAGCCATCAAAGGAATGAGGAGGCTGGCTTCTGCTCAGATCTTTACTACTAATTAAGGTATTTCCCATGCAAACTATAAGCACAGCAGCATTAACTGCTATTTAAAACTAAACTGAACAAAACAACAACAAAAAACCAGTCCTTGGGTGGATGGCACACTGATAACACAACTGGACTACATGGCAAAGGTTCTGGGTTCACATCCTGGGACCTCTCTGAACATGCTGGAGGCATGTACATCCCCGGGTCTAGGCCAGATGATGCTGGGGATAGATTGGGGCATGAGGACTCTGTTGGGGGTCTCTCTCTCTCTCTCTCTGAAGAAGAATAAATAAGTAAGTAAATGTTTTTAGAAAAATGCAAATTGCAGCAAATGAACGCTAACAACAAACAAGAATCTCACAAAGATTACTTCTTATCTATATCATGGTCAGAGACTAATCTGCAAGGATATCCCACTTAATCGCGGCATTAGGAAAGCCTGGCTCCTGGATTGTCCTTCTGCTCTCTGTATTAAAATTATTCTGGCAAAAAGGAAGAAGAAAACAGATTACCCAGGCAGCTAGATCCGACATGGTCCACTGCCTAATTTAAATCCTGGCCCTGGTAGCTTGAAAAACACATCAAGGGTAGGTTTGTGCCCCAAATCCCAACAGAGTGGAGAAAAAGAGAAGGTACTGCAGTGCGACTGTTCCCCCTGGGGAGTGTTTTCTCACCCTCCCTCTTTCTGATGAGTGCATGTACCCTCTGGCAACTTTTTTTTTTTGGAGAGGTTTTCGCTATAGGGCATGTGCGTTTGCCAGAAAGACAGAGAGAGACAGAGAGATAGAAAGCCAGAAATCACCCCCTGGGGGGATGGCCACGCCGCAATCCCTTCTCCTCCATTCTCTCAGGATCTTGGGCATGCACACATACGCACCCGGCATGAGATTTTTTTTTTTTTTTAAAGAATTATTTATTAAACTTTGTTATTATTATTATTATTACTATTATTTCTTCATTTGGCCAGAGAGGGACAGCGTATGAGAGAGAGAGAGAAAATGAGAAAGCAAGCCACCAGGTCTGGGATTCAAACCGTGGTCAACCATGTGGGAGTCCAGCACCATAGCCACTGTGCTACCTGCTGGCCCCAAGCTGGGATGAGTTTTAAGCCACCGGTTCCGGGATGCAAACCACGGTTGACTACATGGGAATCCAGCAACATAGCCATTATGCTAACTGCTGGTCCCTCTGGCAACTTTTTAAAAAGAAAGAAAATAAATAACTCTGGGACCATTTAACTCAAATTATAATAATATAATGGGATCAATAAAAAATGTCTAAACTGAAGCACAGAAAGGAAGAAAAACTAATGAGGCCAGCAAGTGGCATGGCTGGTAAGGCAGCTGGGTTCCACATGGCCATCTGTGAGGTTTGAGACCTCATAGAGACCTGATGGCTTGAAAAACATTTGAGACATGTGTGCCCAAAATCCTAAGAGGAGAATAGAGGAGGAGGGATTGTGGTGTGGCCATGCCCCTGGGAAATATTTTCTCACTTTTCCTTCTCCCTTCTCTCTCTGTCTCTCCCAGGTGAGCACATGTGCTCCAGAGGTGGCAAAAAATTAATTAAAAATAAATATTGGGTCATCATTGGATCATTTCTCATTTCTTTTCTTTCTTTATTTTTCTTTTTTTGCATAGAAAAATGTGTCATGAATTTCCCAACAACCTAAGAAATACATAATCTAAAATGTAAAAAGAATACGGTTAGCATCATAGCACAGTGGTTAAGGGAGTAAGATCCCACATGGCCAACCATGGTTCGAATCCCAGCCCCAGTGTCTTGAAATATACACTGAGTGCATCTATGTACATGCCCAAATCCTGACAGAAAGGAAGAATAGAGGAGAAAGGATGCACCCTGACTATGCCCCATTGGGTGACTGCATGCACTCCCTGGCAACTAAAAAAACCAACAAACAACAACAAAAACAGAAGCAGAGTACCCAAGATCTGTAGAATGATATCAGAAGTGTTCACGTTTGTGTAATTGGGGTCCCAGAAGGTGGGAGAATAGAGAAATACTTGAATAGATAATGACTGAATTTTTTTTTCTAAATTAATGAAAGATGTGACCTTACAGATAGATCTAAGAAACTCAGCAGAAATCCAAGCAGGGTTAAAAACAAAAATATATTTCATAGACCAAAGTCCAATTGCTCAGAATGAAGGTAAATCATAAAAGGAGCTAGTGAAAAAAAAAGATATTCCATTCAAGAAAACATGCATAAGAGTTTTTTTTTTTTTTTAAAGAGTTTTTTGCTATAGGGCACATGCGCTTGCCAGACAGACAGAGAGACAGAGAGACAGAAAGCGAGAAATTACCCCCCCAGGGGGGATGGTCACACTGCAATCCCTTCTCCAACCTCCTCTCGGGATCTTGGGCACGCACGCACACGTGCCCGGCGTGAGTTTTAAGCCATCGGGTCCAGGACGCGAACCATGGTCGACTATGTGGGAATCCAGCAACATAGCCATTACACTAACTGCTGGTCCCCATGCATAAGAGTTTTATGTTACTTTGTATCAAAGAGAACCTGTTGGGAGTGATGTCTCTTTCTTTTTCTGTCATAGTAAATAAACTTTAAAAAAAATTTCCATAGCAGGCCTGTACTCACTGGAGAAAGACAGAGAGAGAGAGGGGAGAGGGGGGAACATGAGAATCTACCCCTCATCCACGGGGTATGGTCACAGGACAATTCTTTCTTTTCCATTTCTCCTTTCAGGACTTTGGGCACACACACATACATGCGCAGTATGTTTTTTAAACTCTAGCTCTGGGACTCAAACCAAGCAGTGAGGTATGTGGAATTCACCATGCCACCAGCAGGGCCTAAATAAACTTTTAATAAATACATAAACATAAAGGACAGCAGGTGGCATGATGGTTAATGTGCTGGACTCCCTGCATGGTCAACCTCCTTTCCATTCCCATATCCGGTGGCTTGAAATTAACGCCAGGCGAGTGTACATGCATCCCAAAATTTTAGGAGAATGGAGAAGGGATTGCAGCATGGCCATCCTCCCTGGTGGTGATCTCACTTTTCCTCTCACTGCCTCTCTGTCTCTCTCGGGTGAGCACACATGCCTTATAGTTAAATAAGTAAATAAATGTATTTGGTATTTGAGTTTGTATTATATATATATATATATACATATGAGAAAGCAAGCTGCCAGGTCCAGGACCCAAACCTCAGTCTGCCATGTGGGAATTTTAGTGCCTTAACTACCACACCATCTGCTGGCCCCTGTATTATATTTTTAATATGTTACAGTGTAGTCTATTATGTCTAGTCAGTATTTTGTTTTTTAGCAATTTAAGTATATTCTTGGGAATGGGTTGTAATTTCTGAATTTAATACAAGGAAGCTTTAGAAAATTTGTAGAAAATGGAATTAAAATATGAGTTTATTCTGGTGTAAAAAAATTAAAATTTTGTTATGTTTTTTTTTCATAAATGCATTTTCTGTGAGCTTATAGAGAATGTACATAAAATAGTAAACATTTCTTGATTTGGACATCTAACTGGTTACTCAATGGGTACTAATCATTACAAGTTATTTGATATGCTGGTATAATTGGTCATCTCAATTGTTTATCTGCTGTGTATTTAGATTTACTCTTCTACTCTGTTATCTGTAGCAGGAACCTAGAAACTGAATTTCTTTGATCCTACTTCTTGACTCCCTAGTAATTGAAGATAGTGAAGGGGAGAAAATGTAATTTCTTTTCTCAACCTTCATAAATTTTTAGTTGAACACTCTCCTTAAAATAAAAGATTAACGAGTGAAAAAACAGTAGAAGTTTATTTTTAACAATGTTGTGCCCATCAGGTGAAAATTTAAAATTATCTCAGCTCTGTGTCTACAAAAATCTTGCTTAAGTAGCATATACAGTAAAGAATAATAAATTTAGAAGGTACAGGGCAAAGAACCATGCAGAACTAGGCTCCTAAAAGGTAGGAAAACTGGAAGAAAATAGGAAAGTTTCCTCCCACCCTAAGGTGACTTCATAGGGGAGGATTTATCTCCTCTGCTCAGGCTACAGTACAGAGGGAAGAAAGTTCCCCTGTGTTTTAACTTTCTCTTTTTCCTTCTTTCTTTCTTTTTTTCTTTCTCTTTCTTTCTTTCTTTCCTCCTTATTTCTTTCTCTTTCTTTCTTTTTCCCTCTCTCTCTCTCTTTCATTTTTTTTTTTTAAGGTTTTTGCCATAGGGTGCATGCATTCACCAGAGAGAGACAATGAGAAGGAAAGTGAGAAATCACTCCCCCTGGGGGATAGATATGCTGCAGTCCCTTCACCTCCATTCTCCTCTCAGGATTTGGGGCACGTATACACACGTGCTTGGCATGATTTTCAATCTACCAGGTCTAGGACTCAAACCATGGCTAGCCATATAGGAGGAGTTCAGTGACTTAGCCACTATGCCACCTGCTGGCCCTTTTTAAAAACATTTACTTGTCAAAGGGATGCATGTGCTCACAGAGAGAGGCAGAGAGACAGAGAGAGGGAGAAAGTAACTCCCCCAATGGAGTATAGACATGCCACAATCACTTCTCCTCCATTTCTCCATTTGGTCGGGATTTGGGACATATGCATGAATGCATGCCCAGTGTGTTTTTTTCAGCCTCCAGGGCATGACTTGAACCACATGATTGACTATGTGGGATCTGGGTCCCTTAACCACCAGGCTGTGGTGCTAGCCCCATTTTTACTTTCTTTAAGCTCAACAATCTTCAGTATTTTAGGGAGAAATATTTTGGTTTTCTTCAATGGCCAGGAGGAGCGCTCTGGTTACAGGTCACTTTCCTAGTAACCATCAGCATAATGTGATAGGCATATGTTCTACCTGTCCTCATTTTTTGTTTCAATAGTAGGTTGTTGGGCCGGACGGTGGCACAATAGTAAAATGCAATGCTCTGCAAGGCTGACCCACATAGGAAGGTTCTGGATTCATGTCCAGAGACCTCCCTGAGTACACCAGGCATGTGCATACCCATGATCTGGGGCCAGCTGAAACTGGGGATGGATTATTATTTTTTTTAAGAATTATTTAATTTTGGGACCAGCAGTTAGCGTAATGGCTATGCCACTGGACTCCCACGTAGTCGACCGCGGTTTGAGTCCTGGACCCGGTGGCTTAAATTCACGCCGGGCGCGTGTGTGTGCGTGCCCAAGATCCCGAGAGGAGAATGGAGGAGAAGGGACTGTGGCATGGCCATCCCCCCTGGGGGGTGATTTCTTGCTTTCTGTCTCTCTATCTCTCTCTGTCTGGCTAGCGTGTACACGCGGCCTATAGCGAAAACCTCTCCAAAAAAAAAAAAAAGAATTATTTAATTTTATTCATGGTCATTATTTTATTTTATTGAAGTTGACCAGAGAGAGACAGGGAGAGCAAAGGAAAGTGAGAAAGCAAGTCACCAGGTCCAGGACTTGAACCACAGTCAGCCATGTGGGAGTCCAGCCTCCTTAACCACCATGCCACCTGCCAGCCCCAGGGGATGGATTATTGTGTCAAGGCCCTGCTGGGGTTCTTCTGTCTATTGCTCATGATGGAGTACCTACCTCATTTGAAGTATTGTCAGGGAATTGGGAAGACAGACCAGCCACTGGCCCCATCAAATAGTAGTGGCAGCTGCGGTGTCTCTTTTGACACTACCCAATCAGAGATCTGGACAGAGGACATTTGCCAGCCACAAACAATCAGAGATCTCTGTCAGACAACCTCAGTAGCACGGGATTGGACCTCAGTCCCACCTCCAGCAACACGTCTCCCGCATTTGATAGAATCACCAAGAAGATGGTCAGAGAACATGGAGGCAAAGACATGAGGCCTATCAAACGCCTGCTCAGTGCTGCCAAGTTCCGTCGGCTCAATATATTCCAGGATCTATCTAACTTCAGGTTTCTGGGACTATATGAAGATGATCCAGTTGACTGTTCCCTTGTGGACATCCTGGAGCCAAATTCTCCAGTCCTAGAAATGGTTGTCATGGGACAATTCCCCATCACTGAAATCAAGATACTGAAAGCTGGTATAAATGTGAACACTGGTATAGAAGTAAATGTGTCATGGGAGGCAACTCAGTTTTATGAGTCTTCCTTCAACATTCAGATTAAAATCATCCCACCCCAAAATCTGGAAATCCTTCAAAATAGGAAATGGTTGGATCCAGAGCCATCATTCTTGAAGGATTACCGGATGAGAGATGATGACCTATATGTGGTGACTGATCAACCCTGTTGTGCTACTTGAGAACAGCAGTGTGAAATGGGGGAAAAATTGTCCATCCTTTTGAATATTTATGCCAAGGGTCAAGGTCAAGGAAAGGGTTTCAAGGCAAAAGAAGAGAAGAGAACTCTTCCACAGGGCATGATAATGACCTATAATAGGAAGAAGCTGATCATCAGCTTTGAAGATCTAACTAGGATGGGGTCAAAAAGATATTTCAGTGGCTGGAGCAATTCCATCTGCCCAATAGGAAGAATAGAAGAGCCCTTTTGGCAAGATTTCAAACAACTGCAAAGAGAAGTTTCCCAGAAAATGGACATCCTGGCCCAGTTTTCAAAAGTTGTTCAAGATGTCCTATTCTATAATATCCTGGATATGCTTGAGAACAGAGAGGCTCTGTACTGCCTCATGGCCATGCTGGGACTGAAAACTTTAGAGTTTGGATGGCCCTGCTGGCACAATCCTAAATGAACTACGAAAAGACTGAATATAGCCATAGATCTACACAGATACCATTCTTTATCTCCTTCAAGCCATACTGGTACTGAGTGACACTCAGCTTAACCTGCTGACCCAGTCCATGAAGAAGAGGATCCTGCTCTACCAGCAGGAGCTGGTAAGAAGCATCCTAGAACCCAACTTCAAATATCCCTGGTGCCTTCCTTTCATCCTCAAACCTGAGCTCCTCAACCCACTGCAGGGTGAGGGGCTGGGTCATCACCTATGGCTTGTTGGAGGAGTGTGGCCTGAAGATGGAGATGAATAATCCCAAATCTACCTGGGATCTAGAAGCCAAGGTGCCCTTGTCCGCCCTCTATGGGACTTTCTCATTGTTGCAGCAGCTGGCTGAGGCCTAAACCCTCCCTGGTAGGCAGTCAGTCCAGGAAGGCCTAACCCCACTCCCATCTATGCTGTGAGCGCCCTCTGTGGGCTCAAGGAACAGGGCCTCAGCTCTCAGCTTTCCCAGGTAGAGAAGAGATGGATAGATAGAGACTTCAGGGAATATCAGGGTGGTAAAAAATACTCTATATCTTCAGAAGGGTTTATGTATCTGTCAGAACTCCTTAAATAGTATGTGAAAGATCTGAGCATTTCACTCTATGTAAATTTTACTGCAAATGAACATAAATAAAAACTTTAGTCAACAACAAAAAAAGAAAGTTAAAAAAGGCAACTAAATAAATAACAAGGTAATTATTAATACAAACTCTGAAGAGTAGAGTATTACTGACTTTTATGATCCATAATGTATTGTAGTTTAATGGTAGTATACTTTATAATAAATGGGCACTTTCAGAAATGGGCACAATTGAGACCACAGATGTAAAGGATTGTTTTCCTCTTAGGTGTAAAAGGAAAAGAACGTCTGCTGGACCTAATTGCCACACTGCTGGTTCTACAGTTTCTTCGCACCCAGCTGGAACATGAGGGAATATTCTTCAAATCACTGATGAGAATGGATGTTGCCCCCATTTCCAGGTACTTTTAACTACAGTAATAAAAACTTATATTGGGGACTTCAAAAAGTTTGAGTAAAAAAGAAATAAATATGAATTTGGGGCAGCCCCATAGCACAGTAGTTAAGCATCATGTGTACGGAACCAGATCTCACATGGCTGACTGTGGTCTGAATCTCATCCTTGGTAGCTTGAAACCACACTGGGGGCATGTGCACAAGTGTCCCAAATCCTGACAGGTAGGAGAAATGGAGGAGAATGGATTGTGGTGTGACCATGCCCCATCGGGGGTGCTTCCTCCCCACTCTGGTGAGCACATGTACTCTCTGGCAATAGGAAAAGTAAGTTTAGGAGCCAACTGGACTCAGGACTAGCAGTTGGTATAATGGCTATGTTGCTGGACTCCCATGTAGTCAACTGTGGTTCAAGTCCCAGACCTGGTGGCTTAAACTCACACTGGGTACATGTGCGTGCATGCCCAAGATCCCAAGAGGAGAATGGAGGAGAAGGGATTGCAGCGTGGCCATCCCCCGTGACACTCAGCTTAACCTGCTGACCCAGTCCATGAAGAAGAGGATCCTGCTCTACCAGCAGGAGCTGGTAAGAAGCATCCTAGAACCCAACTTCAAATATCCCTGGTGCCTTCCTTTCATCCTCAAACCTGAGCTCCTCAACCCACTGCAGGGTGAGGGGCTGGGTCATCACCTATGGCTTGTTGGAGGAGTGTGGCCTGAAGATGGAGATGAATAATCCCAAATCTACCTGGGATCTAGAAGCCAAGGTGCCCTTGTCCGCCCTCTATGGGACTTTCTCATTGTTGCAGCAGCTGGCTGAGGCCTAAACCCTCCCTGGTAGGCAGTCAGTCCAGGAAGGCCTAACCCCACTCCCATCTATGCTGTGAGCGCCCTCTGTGGGCTCAAGGAACAGGGCCTCAGCTCTCAGCTTTCCCAGGTAGAGAAGAGATGGATAGATAGAGACTTCAGGGAATATCAGGGTGGTAAAAAATACTCTATATCTTCAGAAGGGTTTATGTATCTGTCAGAACTCCTTAAATAGTATGTGAAAGATCTGAGCATTTCACTCTATGTAAATTTTACTGCAAATGAACATAAATAAAAACTTTAGTCAACAACAAAAAAAGAAAGTTAAAAAAGGCAACTAAATAAATAACAAGGTAATTATTAATACAAACTCTGAAGAGTAGAGTATTACTGACTTTTATGATCCATAATGTATTGTAGTTTAATGGTAGTATACTTTATAATAAATGGGCACTTTCAGAAATGGGCACAATTGAGACCACAGATGTAAAGGATTGTTTTCCTCTTAGGTGTAAAAGGAAAAGAACGTCTGCTGGACCTAATTGCCACACTGCTGGTTCTACAGTTTCTTCGCACCCAGCTGGAACATGAGGGAATATTCTTCAAATCACTGATGAGAATGGATGTTGCCCCCATTTCCAGGTACTTTTAACTACAGTAATAAAAACTTATATTGGGGACTTCAAAAAGTTTGAGTAAAAAAGAAATAAATATGAATTTGGGGCAGCCCCATAGCACAGTAGTTAAGCATCATGTGTACGGAACCAGATCTCACATGGCTGACTGTGGTCTGAATCTCATCCTTGGTAGCTTGAAACCACACTGGGGGCATGTGCACAAGTGTCCCAAATCCTGACAGGTAGGAGAAATGGAGGAGAATGGATTGTGGTGTGACCATGCCCCATCGGGGGTGCTTCCTCCCCACTCTGGTGAGCACATGTACTCTCTGGCAATAGGAAAAGTAAGTTTAGGAGCCAACTGGACTCAGGACTAGCAGTTGGTATAATGGCTATGTTGCTGGACTCCCATGTAGTCAACTGTGGTTCAAGTCCCAGACCTGGTGGCTTAAACTCACACTGGGTACATGTGCGTGCATGCCCAAGATCCCAAGAGGAGAATGGAGGAGAAGGGATTGCAGCGTGGCCATCCCCCTGGGGGGTGATTTCTCACTTTCTATCTCTATGTCTCTCTCTGTCTGTCTGGCGAGCGCACGTGCCCTCTAGCAAAAACCTCTCAAAAAAAAGGAGCCAACTGGACTGAAGGAAGGTCAGGTGAATTAGTAAAAACACTTTTAATCAGTTTTGTTGCTTTCAGTGGTTGATTAGTGACTATAAACAGATGGATAATTATTAGGAAACATCAGCCTTTTCTTTTTGATTATTAGATTTTTTGCCATAGGGCATGTGTGCTTGCCAGAGACAGAGGGAAAGTTAGAGAGGGAAAATGAGAACTCACTCCCCTCCCCGGGGGATGTGGCCATGCCACGGTCGCTTCTCCTCCATTCTCTTGGGATTTGGGGCATGCACACACGTGCCCAGTGTGTTTTTCAGGCCACCAGGTTCAAGAGTTGGCCAGGCAGGGTCCAGCATCTTAACCACTATGCCACCTGTTGACCCAAAATACATCTTTTAACTACTTTGGGCATGCTTGCTATTTTGTTTGCATCTCATCAGTGTTCACTTGAGGTTTATCGAGTGTCTACACTGTGCCAGAGACTACTTAGCACGTTAGCTTCAGGAGGTACTCCCCACAGCAACCATGGGGCCTCGTGTTATTGTCATAACTGAGAACATGGAGATTCCCGGGATCTTGGGCATGTACGCACATGTGCCTGGTGTGAGCTTCAAGTCCGGGACTTAAACTGTAGTCAGTGATGTGGGAGCCCAGCGATGTATGCCATCTGCTGGTCCCTCCCATGTGATTTAAAAAAAAAAAAAAACTTTGGTGTGTGTTGCCACATGTTCAGGAGGAAATTCTAACATAGGATAAAAACAAAGAAGCTAATTAATATTCATGAAAAAAACTCAAGATTTTTTTTTTGAGTCTTGAATAACCTGAAATATTCAGCCATTTTGAAAACTCAATAGTTCGTAGATCAAAACTTGACATTTTTTGGACTGCCCGGGGCCCCGGCGCGCAGCGGCAGCAGCAGCAGCCTCCGC